ATGTGTCCCTGTGGACCATGTCCCAGCCTTCATGTGTCCCTGCAGGGCGCTGGTGGAGGAAGCCAGGAAACAGCGACTGCTTGAGGACTCTGACTCGGAGGAGGATGCTGTGCCCGCCCCGCCTCGGCCTCGGCCAGCCCCCCGGCCCAACCCCACAGCCATCCTGGATGAGGTGAGCGGGTCCCTGAATCCCGTGTGCATCACTGCCAGCTGGGTTCAGCTCTAACTCTTCAGTTCCTCTCAGTCACACAGAGTCGCCATGCGTTAGACTCAACAACCACCCAGCAACTGCAGCCCTTAGCTGAGAGCATCCCTTCAGGCAGAGATTAGTCACCTGACCACATCCAGCTGCAAAAGACTTTGTTAGGAAATGAAGTCTTTAACAGTGGCAGCCACGTTCCAGCTCAGAATTCTGTATTGTTATTGTTAAGTGGCATCAAGTTGATTCCAGTTCACAGTGACCCTGTTTAGGGCTTCCGAGGAGCAGCTGGTGGATTTGAACCCCTAGTCTTACAAGAGTTCAAACCAACCAGGACTCCCAGAATTCTACAGGCCTCTTCATTCTCTCTTGGGGCTATAACAGGACTACCACAAGGGGGCGGTGTTATCCTTCACAGTTGAGGAGGCTCCAAGTTCAAAGTCAGGGTTCCAGCCTGGGGAAGGTGCTCCTGGGTCTAGGAGGTTCCTAGCACAGGGACCCCGGTTCCAAAGGGCATGCTCCTCTCCTGACTTCCTTCTGGGGTAGTAGGTCTTTCTCTTTGCTCATTCTATCTTTTTGTCAGATAGAAGGTGTTGCCGGCCACATCCCAGGGACTCTCCCCTGATATCAAATCCGGGCTGTGATGAGATTAAACGTGTTGCAGGCCACCATTAAACCTCTTACCGCAAATTGACTTGTCACATCAGATCACATTGGGAGAGCTCGGTACATAACTGCCAAGCCTCTGGAAATCATGGCCCAGCCAAGTTAACACATATTTTGTTGTTGTGAAGTGCTGTTGAGTTGGTTCTGACCCATAGCAACCCTGTATAGCGTTTCTGCAGAGCATCTGGTGGGTTTGAACCTCCAACCTAGCAGTTCAAACAACATGTAGTCCAGCATATTAACCCACAGTGTCACACCAGGACTCCATATTTTAAGGGAATGTAATTCAATTCATGACAGCGTGTTAGAAGGGAGAGTCGGCACAGACCTTAAATGCCAAGCTTAGGGCAGTGGGGAGCCATAGAGGAAGACGTGCTCAGAACTTGGGGGTGGGCCTAGTAAGGGTTCCTCTGGCAGCTGACTCAGGAGGGGTCTTGTGGGCCAGGGAGCTAGGGAGGAGGCTGAATCCCAGGCTGACCATCCACCCCTGTCCCCTCATCACCTTGCAGGCCCCAAAGGCCAAGAGGAAGGCAGAGAGCTGGGAGCGGAGCGTGGGCACCTTGGGCAGCAGGGCACAGCTGTCCAGCCTGGTGGTGGTGAGGAAGACAGACCTGGACCAGGACACCCAGCATGGTCTGAAGGTACCTGTCCCAGGTGAGTGCAGTACCGCCAGCAGTCCCTAGCGGGGTAGCACTGCCTTCTGGGGTCTTCATGGAATGGATGGAGTGAGCTGACCCTCCCCCACCAGGGCCAATTCCTGAGGGGGGAGGGAAGGAGGAAGGAGCCCTGGGGTGTAAATGTGGAAGCATCCAGCAGCTAACTTAAAGGTCAGCGGTTCAAACCCACCAGCCACTCCAAGGGAGAAAGACCTGGTGATCAGTCCCTGTGCAGAAGACATCCCGGGAGGCCACCTGGGCAATGCCACCCTGTCACATAGGGTTATCGGGAGCTGGAATCACCTGACAGTAACCTCTGTTAGGGAAGGAAGAATAGAGTTTTCTTTATTCTTGTCTTTTGTCACAAATTCTTAAAGACCAATCATCCAACAAGCCACCCTCCCTGCTTCTCCCCCAGGCGCCCCACACTCCCAGAAGGCAGCTGAGCCTGTGCGCCGGGCGCCCGGAGCCTCCTCCCTGAGCCAGCTGGGAGCTTACTCCGACAGCGAAGACAGCAGTGGCAGCAACTGAGAGCAAGGCTGAGGGGCCAGCTCCAGCCACGGGACCAATGGACAAACAGGAGCACCCTCTGAGGGGCTCAGCACTGTCTGTCCTCCTGCTGCCCACCCTCTGGGACCCCAGGAGTGCTTCCTCTCTGTTCCCACAGGATCCCCATTCAGACCATCTCTCAGACCGCCTGTAGTGTCAGCTCCATCCTTCCCCTATAGCACTGTCTGGAAAACCATCCTAAGAACCTAGTGCCTCCTTTCTGCCAGCCTTTGAGGTGAGGGTCCAGGGATAAGGCCTCTGCTAGCCTAGAAACCGAAAACCAAGTCACTTGTCGCAGACTCAGTGCTGACTCACGGAGGCCCCTTGTGTGTCAGAGTAGACTTGCGCTCGGAGCGTGTTCAGTGGCTGGTTTGTTAGGAAGTTGATGGCCAGGCTTTCCTTCTGCGCCACAGCTGACCTTTCAGTAAGTAGCTGAGTGTTCCACCAGGGACTCCTGATGCCTGCGTCATTCCACCGGTGTGTGTGAGGCACGTGGGATATGGCTGTGAACAGGGAAAAGAAAAAGATCTACATCACCTACCTGTCTTCAATGGAATTGTGTCTCCCCAAAATACGTGTCAGCTTGGCTGGGCTGGGATTCCCAGTGGTCTGGCATGATCCCCATGATGTGGTCAGATACCATAAGCCAGTAACCCTGAGCTGAGGCCAGGGCAGTTTCCCAGGGGCATGGCCTACAGTACTCTTACTTACAAGAGATAAAGGGACTGATAGCTGTGGCGCTGTAGGATCAGCACTGGACCACACACCACAAGGTCAACAGTTCAAACCCACCAGCTGCTCCTCAGAAACCCCATGTAGGGTGGCTATGAGCTAGAACCAACTCAAATGCACTTAACAACTAGCACCAAAAAAGTAGAGCTAGGAGCCCAGTACACCCTTTGGGCCTTATCCCAGGGGTGTGGCCTGCAACATCTTTGATCTTAAATAAATTTGTTAAAGCCGTCCACTGTGGTGTTCCTGTTACAGCTTTGTTGTTGTTGTTGGTAGGTGTCATCGAGTTGGTACCAACTCATAGTGATCCTAGGCACAACAGAACGCAACACTGCCCGGTCCTGCACCAACCTCACAATTGTTGCCACTGTCTGACCCCACTGATGGTGCCACTGTGCTGATCCATCTCACTGGGGGTCTTCCTTTGTTGCTCTGACCTTCCACTTTACCAAACATGATGTTCTTCACCAGGGACTGGTCCCTCCTGATAATATGTCCGAAGTATGAGAAATGAAGTCTGGCCATCCTGGCTTCCAGGGGGCACTCTGGCTGCACTTCTTCCAACACAGATCTGCGGGTTCTTTTGGGAGCCCATGGTGCTCTCAGTATACTCCCACATTCCTGTTTCGGCAGCACTAGAGAACTAAGCCACTGCCCCCATAGAGCTTGGCATCTAGGAGGAATAAGTCATCATCAAAAGTAAATCAAATAGTTTGATTTAGCCCCCAACTCCTGGTGACCCCATATAGATACAAGGGAATTCTGGCCAGCCCTGTGTAGTTTTTAGAAGCCGATAACCAGGCTTTTCTACCTAATCTCTCTCAGTCTGGGAGCGCCTCTGAAACCTGGTTAGTATCCTAGCAACACTCATGAAGTACATTGACCCAGCATCGAACTCCGAGCTCCAAGTGGAAGGCAAGGATTGTGCTGCCAAGTCACTGTTGCCCCCTGGATTTTCCCTGCAGGCTTTGTTCTGAGAGCTGTGTAGCTGGCACCCTGATTCCCTGTGGGGTCCCAGTGCTGACAAGAGAAGGGGGTTAGGCATAGCTACACGCTGGGGTTTGTCATTTGTGCCAACCCAGACTGCTGCCCTGAGCTGCCCACTTCTAGGTGTTCCCACCTATTCACACACCCAAGAGACTGCCTTCCCCTCCACCGCCACTGTTGACAGTCCCCGCTCCCCACTGGCTTCCATTCCTGTCATCCTGTCCTCAGAGCTGTCTGGTCTCATCCAAAATCATCAACTCCCCAGGGGTCTCCTGCCTGCAGCCCTGAATTTCACCAAGCAGAGGGGCAGTCCCACTTCCTGAGCCCTTCACAGCGCCCCCAGCTGTGCGCCTGACTCTTACCTCCTCCTCCTCCTCCTCCTCCTCCTCTGCTCCCACATTTCACAGCCAAGGGCAACCCCTGGGCCTGGGCTCAAGGCAAGTGAGGGACAGGCCTGGGTTTCAACCTGCAGAGGCTCCAGGTGTTAAACCTTGAATCCCCCCATGTCTTAATTCTCTAGTCAGTGACTTGAACAAACCAATGTATTCTCACAGTTTAGGAGGCAAAAATCCCGAATTCAGGGCTGCGCTGGCTCCAGGGAAAGGCTAACTCAGTTCTGGAGGAACGTCGGTGTCTCTTCTGAGCACCTGCTCTTGGATGTTCTCTTCCCCCCTCCACTGCTGCCTTCTCTCCCTAATCATCTGGGTTTTTGCCTCTTACACCTCAAAAGACATGGGCTCAAGATGCCCCTTACACTAACCCTGCCTCGTTAGCATAACAAAGACAAGCCATTCCCACAGGCACAGAAGTTAAATTTACAACAGGGATTCTTGAGGAACACAATTCATAGCTGGGAGCTATGGGGACAGAACCTCTCCTCTCCATCAGGTTAAGGACATAGAGGACAGGGCCAGGTCTCCCCCAGCAGACTAGGGCTCTTGGGGATTGGACACACCATCCCCATCAGACTAGGGCTCCTTGAAGACCAGACCTTGTTTCCCCATCAGGCTAGACTAGGTCCAGGAACCCAAGCACGTGGTCTCCCCGCAGCAGACTGGGAGTGAAGAGCTGAGTGGAAGGGCTTCTGAGGACAGAGCAGGGGCTCCTATGACAGGGTGACGACTCCCCCATCAGATTCAGAGTTTCCAGGCCCTATGGGAGTCTCTACCTGCACCCAGTCCATTTCCGCACAGGGGGCTGCTTCAGAGACTGGAAAGGGCAGAGTGTTAGACCCATGCCCCCTGCCTGACCCCTTTCTGAGGTTCCTCTATGCCAAGCGTATATTGAGTACCTGGCTGTATGCTACACACTGCTTGTGCTCCTTAAGCCAGGCTGCCCAGGTTCAAATCCTGACTGTGGCACCCCTTTTGTGTGACCTTGGCCCTTGGACATGTGACTTGTGACTTCTCTGTGCCTCAGTTATCTCATCTGAAAAGTGGGGATGTGCAAGTTAGCAGCGTTCACTCGGGTGAAAAAGAGCCAGTGATACCATTCCCCAGCATAGATCTTGGTGGGGGTGGGGTGCCACCGAGGTAGTTCTGACTCATAGCAACCCTGTATAGGGTTCTCCCAAGGAACGACTCGTGGATTTGAACTACTGAGTTTGTGGTTAGCAGTCCAGCTTGTAATCTGCTACCAGAGCTTCCTCACTAGATAATCTTAGCAAAATGAAAATACATAAAGATCTATTTACAGCCTCATGACTCTCAAGAGCCTAAGTGTCCATCAACAGCTGATGAAGAAAAACACAAGATGCACACAATAGAACGTAACTACTCTTTAAGAGGAAGTTTTGATACACAATACGACATGGATGATTCTTAGAAGTATTACACACAGTGATACAAGCTAGACACTCCAAGATCCCCTGGTGTTGAGTTCCATTGGTAGGAAATGTCTATAGAGGAAGGAGGAGATTCATAGTTTCAGAGGGTTGGGGGCTCAGGAGATGAGGGGTGCAAAGGGGTACAGGAGTTTCTGATTTGGTGATAAGAATGTTTGGGAACTACACTGTGGCAATAGTTATGCAATCTTGCAAAGATACTTAAAAAGCATTTACAAAGGTTGGGTTTTAATGTTCCGGAAATGATACCTCAGTTTAAGACAGACGAAAATCACTGATATTCATCGAGTTGATTCTAACTCACACCAACCCTATACAACAATGTAGAACTGTGCCTTACACTTTCCAAGACTGTCTGGGGTGGCACTGTAGGATAAGCACTGGACTGCTAATCACAAGATCAGGGGTTCAAACCCACCAGTTGCTCCTCAGAAACCCTAGGGAGGGGTGGGATGTGCTGTGGACTCAGCGACCCTGTATAGGGTTTCTAGTCCCATCACCCACCCAAGGTCAAGCAGGCTGAACCGAAGTCAGAACCTGCTCTCTGCAGCCCCTCCCTGCACAGCCCCGATAAAACTGCCTCTCAGACACTAGTCCCACCAGGAGAAAGGAGGTCTCCAGAGGCCCGGCCCCCAGACCAGCCCACCTCGCCTTTGCATAGTACCATCCCCTCTCCCTGCACGCCTTACTCTCCTCTCCCCAAAAGCCAAGACCCAAGAGGTGATGTGGCTGGCTCAAGGTTACACTCAAGGTCATCTAACCTGGTCTGGCTCTCTCCCTCCTCCTCCTCCAGCCCCTCCCCAGCACCCCCTTCCTGCTCTCCTCTGGTAGGGGGCTACCGCCCCAGGAGAAGCCAGCTCAAAAGCGTTGGGAAGTCAAACGCCCGTTTGATTCTGCCTGGGGCCTCAATTGCTATTCCTGCCACAGACTGTAATTAGAAGGCCCTTTCAAATATTTATACCGCAGACGCGCGTATTTATCCGACCGGGAGAGGACTCCGATTTGATGAGATCTGTCAACAGCTCATCCCTGAGCCGGGAATTGCCTTGCGACTGACAGAAAACAGGACAATTACCCGCCGTGCTCCCGGGCGGTTCCCCAGGGACACTGCCTTGTCGCCGATCACAGCGGGGGGGGGGGGCGGGGAACAGCAGGGAAAGCGCTCAAGGATGTGAATCGGAAGGAAACTCTACAGGTCCGTAAAGAACCTACACCATCAGTGAGAGGAGGGGAGGGGGCTGGACTCAGGCGGTGTGCCTCATAATCTCAGAACCTCACTTTCCCCACCTGGAAAATGGGGCTAATTGTGGAGAGGAGGAAGAGAATTATTTACTTGGAATGCTGCGGGTCACAGGAGGGTGCCCAGTCAGAAATGAGCTTCATAGCCCTCCCCTCCCCTCCCTGGACCTCTCAGTTTCTCCATCTGCAAAATGATAAAGTTAGACTCTGAGCACTTGCTCCCTTTAAGAGCTTTTTGGGTTCACCTGTTGTCATTGTTGGTGTTGTTGGGTGTACACAGTAACTCCATGTGTAGAACTGTCCCATAGGGTTTTCTTGACTGTCTATCTGTATGGGAACAAATCGCCAGGTCTTTTTCCACGTGAGATTTAAGGTGGGTTGAAATGCCAACCTTCTGGTTAGCGTCTAATTATCTAATAGAAGAAGGCCCACTTTGCAGATGAGGAAAACAAGTAGGAGGCCTAGCCCCTCTCCCCACTCCAAGGGACAGCAGAGACACCCCTGATTTCAGTGTGTTCTCTCCCTTCCAAACCATCCACCCCCCACACTGAGCTGGAAGCCTGTGCTAACAGCAAGTCCCCTTATAGGGAAAGAAGAAAGATCTGCCCCCAATTGCCCAGTTGCCCCCTTTTCTGTCCTCATCCCCCAAACCTCTTGACGTGTCATTGCCTCCCCCCACACACACACACCCCACACACACAGCTACAGCTGCCCACAAGGGCCCAGAACAGTCCCTCTCTTCTGTCCTCTCTCCCGTGCCCCCCTCCCCAAGTCACAAAGAGACAGATGCTGAAGCCATAAACCAGGCTCAGATACCATCTCTTCCACTGGCCAGCTGCCCCCACTCCCACCTCCCCATCACGCAATTAGTCCCCGGGGAAGACGGGTGGGTGGGCAGAGAGGAGCCCTCTTGGGGGAGGGGAAGCCAGATCTCTTTCCCTTCCCCAGCACCGTCGATGTCAATTTCATCAATGTCAACGGGAGCCAGTGACCTCTCCGACAATTTTCACACTCCCAGATCTCTCCTGGGCAATGTAGCGGACAGATGCTGGTTCAATTTCAACCTTCAATAGCGGTCAATTTCACCCTCTCCAATGATCAATTTCTCCTTTTCTGGCGGTCAAGTCCAGCCCCCTATTTCCTGGCCAATTTTTCCCTCCTTTCCCTCTGCCCCTTCTTCTTCGTTGGTCCCCCCCCCGCCCCCCCCTCGCCAATCCTCACCCCCGCCCTTCTAGTTCTCCTGAGCATGTCAACTCTTGTCCTTGTCCATCTCCCACGCTCTTCGCTCTTTCTGCCACCCTCGGTTCTCCGGGTCAGCATCCAGCTGCCACGGCCTCGGCCCAGCGACTCCCGCCCCCGCGTCCCCCCTTTCTTGGGCGAACAGCGGATCCTCGCCCTCCTCAGAGCAGCTGAAGGTCTCAGTCACCTCCGAGGGGTGAGCGGAGGGGGGGGGCGGGAGGAGGAGGCGAGGGACGCCGCGGAGGGAGAGGCGGGGGAGCTTTGACGTCGCTGCCCCAGAAGCGGCCCGCAGGGGCTCCGGCGTCCTTCTGCGTGCCCCCTCCCCAAAGTCCCACCTCCCGGCCGTGCGCCGGCGGTGGCGGCGGCGACAGGGAAAGTGTCTCCGAAAGCGTGAAGGGGGATTGGAGGAGGGTTTTATTTCCCTTTGTGCCGGATCGAGGCGGCCCCGGGCCGGGGGCGGCAGGATTGTGGCTCCCCGCCACCCGGATCACAGAGGAGCTCCACAAAGACCACACCGCGCGGGGGTTGCACTCCCCGCCGCCCAACTTTGCGCGCAGCGCCCGCGCCCCAAGACAATCCTCCTGCCGCACTGAGGATCTAGGCGTCCCGTTAGCCCGGCGAAGGGTCAGGGTTGGGGGGGGCGCTGCTTCCTGGAAGGGATCCCAGAGGTGCCCACAGGCACGGGGAACCCAGCCGCGCGCGCAGGTACCGCACTGCCCGCGGCAACTCCGCGCGCATCGGTAGGCAGATGTCGCTTGCCTTGACCGGATGACCCCGCGCTCGGCGTTCGTGGCCCTGAGGGGCACTGTCTTCCCCCGCCGTCCTTTCTGAACCAGGCTAAGGTGGTTTTCATTCCTCCTTCCTGCCTGCTCTGCCCCTCGTCTTTCCTCTCTCCCTCTGTGCCCTCTTCTTTCTCCCTTATCCGTGCTGAGCCCAGCCTAGGGGCGCACCTGATCTCCCTCGTTTTTTCTTCCCCCTTCTTTCTAGCGTTCTCCTCCTCCCTTCTGGGGCACTCTGCCAAGAAAGGGGGCCCAGGAAGCGGGGATGCGTTTCTCCCTCTGACAGTGGCCAGGTGTGGGGAGGACACGCGTCCCAATGGCCAAGTGGCTGCGGGATTACCTGAGCTTCGGCGGTCGGCGGCCCCCTCCGCAGCCGCCCACCCCCGACTACTCGGAGAGTGACATCCTGAGAGCCTACCGCGCGCAGAAGAATCTAGACTTCGAGGACCCCTATGAGGACGCCGACAGCCGCCTGGAGCCGGACCCCGCCGACCCCGGGGATCCCAAGGGCCTCGGAGACACCAAGTACGACTCTCCCAAGCGCCGGCTCATCAAGGTGGAGGCAGCGGAGATGGCCAAGGTCAAGGCCTTGCTGGGCAGTCCCGGGGAGGAGGTGCGTGACTGAAGGGGGTTGGCCCTGGGAGATTGGGTGTTGAGCCTCCGACTGGGTCCCTAGAATTTTGGGGAGCTTGTTTAGTGTGGGACCCCTGCTCAATGCTGGGCACCAGCGTGAAGCATCTCAGTTCCCACCTGCTCCCTGGAATTTTCTATTCTCTTTCCTTTCAATGTTAGGTCCTGCTTGCCCCTGTCCTCTCTACTTGTCCCTGATTTGTCCCCTTAGTGAGCTTAGTCTTCCCACCCTCTTCTTCCCCTTTCTCTATAAGCAGCTGGCAGATTCTTCCTAAAAAAAAGATCTAATTAATCTCCTACTGGGCACTTTAAGATCCTCACCATTCATTACCACTGCATTGGCTCCCTGGGCGGGTACAAACAGTAAACTGCTCAACTATTAGGCAAAAGGTTGGGGATTGGTACCCACCCAGATGTACAGCGGAAGAAAAGCTTGGCAATCTGCTTCCAAAAGGCCATAGCCTTGAAAATCCTATGGAGCAGTTCTACTCTGAACACACAGGTTGTCTGGGAGTTCAAATGAACTTCATAGCAACTGTCAACACTCCTTGACCTTCTAGTTACTGTCATTTCCAGATTTACAGAGGTGGAAACTGAGGTCTACAGAAGAGAGGCAGGCCATCCAAAGTCACACAGTTCTAGCTCATTAGGATTTGAACCCAGAGCTGACCCCAATGCCCACAATTTTCTTCAACACTTTTCCTTGAGGGTCAAATTGGCTCCAAACCCTCAGCAGAAATAGGATCCAGAGAAGGCTACAAGAAGCTGGGGGGCAGAGGTTTGATTCCAAATCAACACACCTTAAGTTCTATCTCCATCCATCTGTGCCCACAGAGGCTTACGTGTTAGGATGCTGAACAGTTCTCAGTGGGGCTTCCAGACAAAGATGAACTAGGAAGAAAGACCTTGCAATCCACTTCCAAATAGTAGCCAAGGAAACATGATCTGCAATTGATCAAGGGGAAGGGACAGGTCTGGGCAGCCTTTCATTCTGTTGTGCATGGTTTTGCCGTAAGTCCGAAGTCCGACTGACTTGACAAAAGCTAAGAATGGCAACAATGATATCTATGCCGGGTAGTGGTTAAGAGCAGGAAGACTAGGAGGAGAGGAGACAAGGACTCCAAGGAACAAGACAGTCTGTGATTAAATCCTGCCTTTATTACTTACAAACTGTGTGATCCTGGACAAGTCACCTAACCTATCTGGGCCTTCATCCTCTAATCTATGTACTAACTGAGCAATGTCATTAAAAGTAAATTCGTGTAAAGACTATAGAACAGTGGGGATAGGCACCTGATAGACAAGAGCTGTTTAATTTTGGAAAGAGGGAGGCAGGTGTCTGTGTTAAGGAGAATGGAATGGAAGAAAGTAGGGGAAGCTGGTATCTGTCTGTAAGCACTTGTGGGAGGCAGAGAAGACCCCCTGCTGTTATGAGGCACCATCAAGTTGTTTTCAATTCACAGTAACCTCATATGATAGTAGACCTGTCCTCATAAGATTTTCTTGTCTGTAATCTTCACAGGACCAGATTCCTAGATCTTTCTCCTATAGAACCGCTGGGTAGGTTTGAACCACCAACCTTTTGGTTAGCAACTGACTGCTTAACCATTGCTTAGAAAAGCATTCCCTATCCCCACCAAAATGAGCTAATGGTAGGAGATGGGCCAGATGGCCCAGAGAGATAAGGTAAATTGAGTAGCATCATCCAGCAGGGGTGTCAGAGTTGGGTCTAGCCCCCTGAGCTCTTGCCCCCTCCTCTCCTCTCTCTCCCCAGCTGGAAGCTGACCCTGAGTATTCAGACCCCTTTGATGTCCAGCCTCATCTACCACCCCCAGATGATGGTTACATGGAGCCCTTTGATGCCCAACGAGTTATAAGTGGTGAGCAGACAGGGGCTGAAGGGAGGCAAAGGGTCCCAGATGGGAGTAGAGGCTAACCAGTGTCCTTGGCCCCTCAGAACTGCCCAGCAGGGGGGTGCAGCTGTATGACACGCCCTATGAGGAGCATGACCAAGAGCCAGGGGATGAGCCCCCTTCCAAGGTACAGAAGCCTAGACAGAGCCGTCTGCCCCAAGAAGACGAGCGGCCAGCTGATGAGTATGACCAACCTTGGGAATGGAAGAAAGACCACATATCCAGGGCATTTGCAGGTGCTACTCTGACCCAGACCCTGACCTCTGAATGCCCCTAGCCCGTCACTTCCTGATTTCTTCAGTTCCAACTACACAATAAAGCCTTGATGGGCTTCTAATTCTCACTTAAGTGTGAGTGGCTGACTGGCAGTCATTAAATTCCTCTTGCCCAGAGAACAGCTTTTAGAGTAGAATGGAAGTCTTCATTCTGCCCAATAGAGTGCAGGATAGGAATATGGATTTGGTGTCAGACTAGAACTGGGTTTGTGAAGCTTGGTAAGATCTTGAGTTTCAGCCTCCTTATCTGTAAAATGGGGATTGTTATAAATTGTTATAGTACCTACTGAGCAGGGTGCTGGTAAATGAAGTGGCAATAAGTACTCAGTTATTCGGAACTGAGGTAGACCATAGAGGGACAGTAGTTGTTAGTAGAATTAGGATCCACTTCCTAGTGGAGTTGGGTGAACTTGGGTAAGTCTCTGGATGTTCATTTCCTCCTCCATAAAAAGCAGTAACAGTAAAGTCAGCTCTAAGACATAAAATAACTGCCCTGAAAGAGTTGTGCCAAATTGACTTTGTTCTAGGAATTCAGTGGATGGTTTTGTATTTCTATTGCTTGGCCAGAGTTGAGGCAGAATCTGGGAAATGAACTCAGGAGACCGGGACCCTAATTAAAAGTTTCTAACTCACCCCCCTACCCCCAGTCACTGATCTCTCATTTGTTGCTCATATGGTGGCCCCCAGAATTCTTCCATCTCAAACTCTCACTGCCATCAAATCTATTCCAACTCAGAGAGCTCAAGTATAGGGTTTCCAAGGCTGTAAATCTTTCCGGGGAGCAGAAAACCTCGTCTCCCTTCCGCGCCTCTCCACAAGCTGAGCGGGCTGATGGATTTGAACTGACGACGACCCCTTGGTTAGCAGTCCTACAACACCCTGATTTATAAGTGGCTACACCCTTTTTTTTTTTTAATGAGCAATTAGTTGTCCTTTTGTCAATTCTACCCACTTTACTCCCCTTTCCTTGCCTTAAACCCAGCCCTCCCTTTTTCTGTTCTCTGATAGGCTAATCCCAAGCTAAGACCGCCTTCTGACTGAAATTCCATTGGCTCGCCCCAACTCCGCCCTACAAGGAGGTTGGATTTAACCTTTTCCTCTTCAATTCTCCCGTCTAGTGCAGTTTGACAGTCCTGAATGGGAAAGGGCCCAGGGTTTGGCCAAGGAGCTCCGGAGACCCCCGCCCAGGAGCCCCCAGCCTGCAGAGCGTGTGGATCCGGCTCTGCCCCTGGAGAAACAACCGTGAGTGAGGAAACAGAGCGTGGAAGGGCCCCGTTGAACCCCTCCCAGTCCCGTAGAAAATGTAAACTATTCAGGCAAAAGTCTTGGTTTTTTTTTTGCTCCTCGCTGAGAACTTCGATCCATTCATTCCTTTCATTCATTTCTTCAACTAATCTTCATTGGGTGCCAACGCTTACTATGTGACAGGACCAAAAGGCAAAATCTCTCATTGGTATCAGGTTCTGGGTTCAAATTCTTGTATAACTCAGAAGTGATCAGGTTTAGAAGCCAGCTTACACTGGTATGCCTTCCTGAACATAACAAAAGCCCTGTTTCTAAGCAGGATTATATCCACAGGTATGTTGTGTTCCTTCATGTCATGTCGATTTCGACTCATGACTCATGACTCCTTATGACAGAGCAGAATTTCTCCATAGGTTTTCTAGGCTGTCAACTTTATGGAAGCAGATCACCAAGGCTTTCTCCCAAGGTGCCTCAAACCTCAGACCTCCCGACCTCCTGGTGGTTAACAGCCAAGTGCTTAACCAGGGCTCCTCCCCAGGTGTGCAGGGGTTAGGATCCCAACATATATTTTGGGGGACCCATCTTAGTCCATGACAGGGGAATCTTGTAACTTGAGAGCAAAGAGACAAATCATTTTGACCCTGGAAGAAGTAAGAATGAGGAGGCAGAGGGTCCCAACTTTGGGCTGGGGTGGGGGACACAGGCTGGGAGGTCTGAGTCTCTATGTGTCCTTAAAAGGCTGGGAACTTCTTGAGGGACTGACCCTCTATGTCCCCCACGTCAACCTTGTGGGCACCTGAGTGTGCTTATCAGGGCTCTGAGAGAGAAAGATCAGGCTGTCTGCTCCCACAAAGACTGACAGATTCGGAATCTCTAGGGAGTCCATCTGGAGACCTGGTGTGGCGCGGTGGGTTAATGTACCAGACTGCAAAGCTGTTTGAACTGAAAGGTTGGTGGTCAAGCTCACCAGCTGCTTGGAAACCCTATACAGGGTTGCTATGGGTCGGAACCGACTCAACGACACTTCACAACAACAACAACAACAACAAAGGAGCCCTTCTACTCTGTCCTGCATGGTTTCTATGAGTTGGAATGGACTTGAGGGCAGTGGATTTGGGGGAGGTTAGGCACGCCATGGACTCCTGGTATGTAGCACTGTGGATCAGCCCTGGACGTGAACCACAGGGTCGGCAGTTCAAACCCATCAAGTGCTCCTCAGAAAACCCTATACAGGGTTGCTATGAGTCTAAGCTGACTGGATGGCACTTACCAGCAACCAATGGGTATGCCTCAGTTAGGTGCTCCTTGGTCTTTAACACCCCGAACACATGAATGAGCTCCCTGTCACTGGGTGTATACAAGAAAAACATTCAGTGAACAATGGCATAAATTGGTAGGATGTGTGATGTGTATATAGCCAAATCCCTGAGATCAATATGCAAGTGATTGGACTTGGGGAGTTGGGGGGCAAGGGGCAGGGATCCTTGGGGACCCCCGCAGAGGCCAGCTGTGAAGATCAAGGTCAGGTGTAGTATAGAACTGGATGTAACAACTTCATGTTCATCTGGGCTCAAGTCTGCTTGAGAAACACCAGGGACTTTTTCCTCATCTGTGTGCACAGGAACTCGGGTCCTGGCACCCACCCAATATGTTTGAGAGCAATTTGAATGGGGAGGGGGTCGCGTTTCCTGAGCCATCTGTCCCCACCCTCTAGGTGGTTTCATGGCCCCCTGAACCGGGCGGACGCTGAGAATCTGCTGTCTCTTTGCAAGGAAGGTAGCTACCTCGTGCGCCTCAGCGAGACCAGTCCCCAAGACTGCTCCCTGTCCCTCAGGTGAGACCTCAGTGTCTGAATGAACAAAAGATCACCGGACACCTGGGAGCAGAGGGCAGGGACTTCATTGTCAATGGGCGGGGCTTTACTGGAAGAGTAGGTGGAGATTCTGAGACCAGTGGGCGGGCTTCCAGGCATTTGGTTCCTGTGGAGATTTTTAAGCCAGTGGGTGGTGCTTCCAGGCCACTGGGAGGAATTTCCTGTGAGGCACTGTTAGGGCTTCCACTGGTAATGAGCTCCCTGTCACTGGAGGTATGCGAGACGATAGAGTGAAAGCCATACAGGAGACTCAGGCCTTGGATAAGATGGGAAGAAACAAAGTGTCCAAGATTCCTTTGGACCTTCTCAGCCCAAAAACTGAAGTATATGTATTTATCTCTGCCTGAGACCACAGTTTTAGACTGACCCTGTAGACATTTGAGTTTGAGACCCCCACTTTTAAGTATGTCTGATTATGCAACTCTCCTACAATTCTACAATTCCTGAGAGAAGATGGAAAGAGGACTTTAGGGCCAGGTTCAAATCCTGATTCAGCCACTTTCCAGCTGTATAGCCTTAACTAAGTGATTCAATCTCTCTGGGCCTTACTTTCCTCATCTCTAGATTGAGGCTAGGACTAACCTCAATTTCATGGTGGTGCTCAGAAAATTAAATGAATAAATATATGAAAAGGTTGGGATTAGTTTCTGGAAAACAGTGAGTGCTTAATTAATGATTGATGATTCCCTGGGTCTGGGTCGTATGGTCCACAAGCATGGAGAGAAAGATGGAGTTGATTGTGGGGAGCTCATGGGGTAGCAGACAAGGTCAGGGGATTTGGAGAGAAAGTGGGATGAATTTAAGGAGAGTTTGTTACTGATGTTAGGTGCATTCGAGTCGGTTCTGACTCACAGTGACTCAATGCATAAGAGAATGAAACTCTGCTCGATCTTCCGCCATCCTGGTCATCCTCACAATTGTTAATATGTTTGAGCCCATGCTTGTAACTACTGTATCAATCCATCTCATTGAAGGTCTTCCTCTTTGTCACTGACCCTCCCCCTTACCAAAGGAGCTCTGATAGCGTAGTGGTTAAAAATCAGGCTACTAACCTCAGGGTCAGCAGTTCAAAACTACCAGTTGTTCTGTGGGAGAAAGATGAGGCTTTCTGCTCCTGTAAAGATTTACAGCCTCAGAAACCCTATACAGGGTCGCTATGAGTCGGAACCAACTCCACGGCACATAACCACCACCACCACTTTACCAAACATGATGTCTTTCTTCAAGGATTGAGCCCTCCAGAAGAGGGCTCAATTGGCCACTGGGATTGTTTCCTTCACTGCATAAACACTTACTGAGCACCAACTGTATCCCAGGTCCTGTTGTAGCCACTTCGACTCTGACTGTGCCCGATATGTGGCTGCTAGTAGCTGCCGCTAAATTCATTGCGGCCTCATGGTGACCCCATATACAGGGGACCAGGTCATTGTGATCAATAAGGTTTTGTTTTTTTAACATTTTATTAATAGTTAGGAGCCCTGGTGGCATGGTAGGATAAGCACTGGGCTGCTAACCACAAGGTCAGCTGTTCAAACCTACCAGCCACTCCTCTGGAAAAAGATGAGGCTTTCTGCTCCCATAAAGATTTATAGCCTCAGAAACCCCACACAGGGTCAGGGTCGCTCTGACAAAGACAGTGAGTTTGAATGAGTTGTTTTTTTTTAAATTATAGTTTGGTGAAAGTTACAATTCCCTGGATGTTGTTTTGTTTCCATTATAGTTTGGTGAAAGTTACAATCCCCTCAATGTAACAACACTTTTCCTTCCCTCTCTCTGGGTTCCCAGTTTCATTCACCCATCTTTTCTGCCCCTTCCTGCCTTCTGAGCTTTGTTTCCGGTCTAAACGCTGCCTTTGGGGTCCCATATGATTGGTTGTTCTGAGAAACATGTTACTCACGGTATTATAGTTCACCTTTAGGCCCATCTGTTTGGCTGAAAGGTAAAGGTTCATTCAGTTCAAGCCTTGAAAGGTGTCTAAAGGGTACCACCAGTGTCTCTTAAACCAGTAAATCTGGGCTTTTTAATGATTTTGAATCTTATTTTGCAATTTTCTTCCAGTCTGTCCAGGACCTTTTGTTGTGATCCTGATCAGAGTGGTTGATAGTAGTAGCTGGATATCAGCCAAAAATGAAATGAGTGAAACTGGGAACCCAGGGAGAGGGGAAGAAAAGTGGTGTTACATTGAGGATATCATAACTTTCACCAAACTATAATTGAAACAAAACAACATGGGGGGAGGGGATTGTAACTTTCACCAAAATATCATTGGCTGATCTTCAGACTGGATTGTTGTTTTGTTGTGAAGTGCATTTGAGTCAGTTCCAACCCATAGCGACCGTGTATAGGGTTTCCAAGGAGCAGCTGGTGAGCTTGAACTGCCAACCTTACAGTTCAAGATTACCAGGCCTTTTTTCTTAGTTTGTAAACTCCGCTGAAGCTTGTTTAATATCCTAGCAACAAAACACCCCATGGACAGATGGGAAGTGACGACACATGAGGTACACTGGCTGGGAATCCAACCCGGGTCTTACAATCGTTTGTGCTTGCTATTATCCTAGCGTAGTGGCTACGAATTGAGCTGCTAACCTCAAGGTCGGCAGTTCGAAACTACCAGCGGTTCCATGGGAGAAAGATGAGGTGTTCTGCTCCCATAAAGATTTACAGCCTCGAAAACCCTGTGCAGGGTCGCTATGAGTCCGAACCGACTCCAGGGTACTTAACAACAACAAATCCTAAAGAATTGGAACCCACCCAGTGACTGCAGAAAAAAAAAGCCTAGCAATTTGCTTCCCTGAAGATTGTCGTTAAGTGCCATCGAGTCGGTTCGGACTCATAGCGACTCTGTATAGGGTTTCTGAGGAGTGGCTGGTGAGTTTGAACCACTGACCTTGCGGTCCAGTGATTAGCTATTCTACTCTGACACAGAAAGGATTGCCCCCGATCAGCTGCTGCCCCCCCCCCCATTTCAGACAGGAATAAAGAATAAGACTAAAATGAAACACCAGGAATCAGGAAGACCATGGCTGGGGAGAGAGGGGAGGCTCTGGGAAGGCCTCTCTCAGGAGGTGACACTTGAGCTGAGCCAGGAGCACAGTGAGGACCAGTGTCTAGGGATGGGAAGTACCAGTAGAGGTTTTCCTTGGGGGTGGGTTTCCTCCTAACACGTCCCTGGGTTTAGGGTGAGTTCAGCAAATGCCCGGCAACATGGCGGATGGGGCTTCAGAAGGAAAGGGACACTGGTGAGGGAAAGGCCTTCAGAGCAGCTGTCTGATTTATCTGCATCACACAGAGGAGCCGCTCCTCCCTCATCCTGCACTCCCACTGGGACAAGCCTGCCAGCAGGAGTTAACCAACCACTTGGCACTTGTCTTAATTCTCTAGTGCGGCTGTCAGAAGGACCACACGTGGGGGCTTTAACACACAGAGGTCTGAATTCAGTGCACCAGCTCTAGGGAAGTTGCTCTCTCTGCTGGCTCTGGGCAAGGCTCTGGCCTCTTTTAGCTGCTGGGTCTTGGTTTCCTGGTGATTTCTATGTGCCTACATCTTCCTCCGTCCCTGTTTCCTAGCTTCTGTTTCAAATCTGCTCCTTTTCTGTCACAAAAGTGATTGGCTCCCTGGATAGGATCTCATTAACATAACAAAGAGCTCCCTTCCCAAATGAGATGACCTCCAAGCAGATTGTTAGGTGCCAGCCTCCATTTTAATCCATAGCGACCTCATGTGTCAGAGTAGAACTGTTCCAAAGGCTTTTCAAGACTGTGACCTTTTGGAAGCTGATCACCATGCCTTTCTTCCGAGGTGCCTCTGAGCGGATTTGAACTGCCAACCCTTAGGCTAGTTGTTGAGTGCTTAACTCTCTGTGCCACTCAAGGACTCCTTCCACAGGAATTGTTAAGTGCCACTGAGTTGATTCTGACTCATAACAACCCTGCATAGGGTTTCCAAGGAGCAGCTGGTGGGTTTGAACCATTGACCTTGTGGTTCCTGGTCCAGTGCTGATCCTATAAGTACCACACCAGGAATCCATCCACATGTATAAGGGTTAGGATTTACTACACATATTTTGGAGGGACAAGGAGGTCTGGTGTTGCAATAGTTAACAGTTGGCTGCTAACCAAAAGGTTGGAGGTTTGAAGCCACTCAGTAAAAGTGCCTACCCTATAGCACCAAACCAGGACTCCAGTGACCTTATAGGACAGGGGAAAGCTGCGCCTTAGCATTTCTGGGACTGTAAATGTTTACAAAAGTGCATAGCCTCGTCTTTCTCCCACGGATTGGTTGCTGGTTTCCAACAGTCAACCTTCAGGTTAGTGGTCCAGAGCTCACCCCAGTGCACCACCAGACCTCCATAAAGATGACCCCATTGACAGCAAGTCAATCCTGACTCAGCGATCCTGTAGAGGGTCTTCGAGGCTGTAATCTTTACAACAGTCTCAAAAGACCATCTCACCTTTCTCCCGCAGAGGGGATGGAGGGTTTGAACCACCCACCTTGTGGTAAGCAGTCCAGCGCTACTCCTAAAGGGCCACCAGGCCACCTTCTGTAAAGATGATAGCCTGAAAGACCTATGGGACCGTTCTAGTCCATCAGAGTTGGGATTAGATTCCACAGGTCTCAACAACAACGTCTTTGTGGGGGAGGGATATGCACGCACAACTCAGTCCATAACAGATTCTAATCACCGTCTGCCTACCAGAGACACTGGCCCCTGGGCACTTTGGGACTAGAACAATTTGGGGTGCATGAGGGGTCCCCCTCTGACCTCTGTATGATCTCCCCAGGAGCAGCCAGGGTTTCCTGCATCTGAAGTTTGCTCGGACCCGGGAGAACCAGGTGGTACTGGGTCAGCACAGTGGCCCCTTCCCTAGTGTGCCTGAGCTGGTCCTCCACTATAGCTCCCGCCCACTGCCCGTGCAGGGCGCTGAACACCTGGCCCTGCTCTACCCGGTCACCATGCAGACCCCCTGACCGGAACCTGCTGGCTGATGAACAGAGGTATCTGCTGGAAGGAGGGACTGGGACAGGCAGATGCATGGACTGATTTCCCCACCCCAGGGCTGTCTTCTATCAGGGCTCTGGGGGCCCAGAATCTTGCCTGGAAGCTGTCCCTTGTCTTGGAAAATAAAGAAGTGATTGTCTTTTTTGTGTCTTTGCTGGGCAACAGGGAAGGAGGATCCCAGACCCACCTGTGAATCTGCAGCCCTCTGTAACCTTGTCATAGAAGTGGGTGACCAACTGGGTACTGGGAAGATGACAGGGGACTGAGACCCTTGGAGAGGCAACGACTGTCCTCCTTCAAAACCAAACCAAAACTCATGACCATGGAATTGATTTCTACTCACGGAGACTCTCTAGGGTAGAGTGTAAGTGCCCCAAAGGGTTTCAAGGCTGCTGATATTTATGGAAGGAGACAGCCTCATCTTTCTCCTGCAGCGCGGCTGGTGGGTTCGAACCAACAACCTTTTGGTTGGCAGTTGAGCACCTAATAACTGCACTTCTAAAGGCTTCCTGACTGCTGGATTTGGGGGTGGAGGGTCTGGGGTCACACATGGGGAGAAGTCAGCTCAAGGAGTCAAAAAACCTGAAGGCAGAGGACATCCTAGCAACTGCAAAGATGGAGAAACTCTGGGGCAGGGGAGACTCTCAGCCAGCCCTGCCCCCACCCCCCCAGCCTCCCATCAGACCAAAGCTGCAAAGGGACATCTGTCCCCATGGAAACAACAGAGGGGGGAGGGGAGCAGGGCCCAGCTGGTGTCACTATAAAGTGACCACTGGAGGGGGTAGTACTAGTCCCCTAGGAAGGCTGGGGACACTGCCACCCAGCTCCTTTTGAAACAGGGCCTCTCCAGCCATTTGGGGGGGGCTCCAGGTCCCCAGATGACCACTCTTATCTCTGTGTGGCTGTTGTTAGCTACTAGCTGCTAACAATAAGGTCATGAACAGGACAGACATTAACCACAAACTACACAATCCCGTAAGGATTTACACCCTCGGAAACCCTGTACAGGGTCGCTCTGGGTCGGAACCGACTCGACGGCACTTAACAACAACAACAACAACACAATCGCTCAAGTGCTAACCCCAAAGTTGGTGGTTCAAACCTACCCTGTGACTCCTCATATGATCTCTCCTATGAAGACAACAGCCTGAAACCCTTTAGGGCAGTTCTACTCTGTCACATGGGGTTGCTATGTATCAGAATCAATTTAATAGTACCCAACAACAATTTTAATCTGTGTTGAAGCATCACAAAGGAGAACAACAGGTAAGCAGACCAGGAGGGTCCACTTACTCTGAAATCCAGGAGGGCTGCCTGGAGGAGAAGGCTGAGCTGGCAGAGGTGTTCCCTGCATCTGCCATTCCCCTGCCACCCAGACTTATATTGCTGAGTTTGTCTCTAAGTCTACATGAGCCTAACATTGCTCCCTGGCTTAGCCTTGTCTTAAGCAATGTTGCTGGCTGCCCTCAACTCATAATGAGTGACTCTGTCCACAATGGAGCAAAACACTTCCTGGTTCTTTGCCACCCCCATAATTAGTCTGGGATTGGATTGCCATGATAGATAGGGTTTTCATGGGCTTTTTAAAAAAAATGTTTTATTGGGAATTATGTGATAGTTTACATGGGAGAATATTAGTTTTACATTCATCCTATAGTATATAATTTCATTGCTATGGTTACAATCCCTTCCATGCATCATCAACCAACCAAAGGATATACACTGCAAGCCTTCCCGCCCCACCTCATCAGCACACAGCCTCTCTCCCTCTCTGTGTCTAAAGTCCCCAGCTGCTCCATCTCTCCATGTCATTGTCTCTGCCTCCATCTCAGGCATCACTGCTTCTCTGGGTACGGTCCTGCTCTCCGCTCTTCTCTGTTGATGGTCCTAGGGACCTCCGCTTCTAGACTGCAAAGTTAATCACTCCCCTCCTTGCTAAAAAACGTCTGCCTTTACATTTCCAACCCTCACAAGCAGTCCTGATAACAATTATTCACTATTGTATCACAAGAGATCCATCCGCATTTCATTTCATCAGCCCCGCCTAGTCAGATTTGTATACTACTCAGTGGAGATTCTACCTTCCTTCATGCCCTATGCATCTAGCTTCCCTCTTGAAAGCTTGTAACCCAGTCACTTCTTGCCTTTGTTGTTGTTGTTAAGTGCCGTCGAGTCGGTTCCGACCCATAGCGACCCTGTACAGGGTTTCCGAGGGTGTAAATCCTTACGGGAGTAGAAAGCTTTTGTAGCCCCCCCATTTTGTGTAGCCAATGTCCAAATTGCCCATTCCTGTCTACTCTGTGTATGGAGGGGGTGGGAATGATCCTTGCTCTAAGGATTTGTTCTTCATGGGCAATTTTTTAAATGTAGGTTTCCAGGCCTTTATCTCTAGTCTCTTGGAGTCTGGACGCTCTCCTGAGACTTGCTCAGGATCACAGCAACTCTTGAGTCTCCAGGGACAGATGTGGAGGCTGTGAATGAGCTGAAGGGGTCAGAATTTAACCTGGGTCTTCTCCCATGGACTGCCAGAAGAACAAATTAATCTGTGTTAGAATGAATGCCCCCTTAGAAGCCAAGATGGCAAGACTTCATCTTTCAGACTTCTGACATATGATCAGTAGACCGGTCCTCGGAGAAGGACATCATACTTGGTAAAATAGTTGTTTGTTGTTGTTGTTAAGTACCCTGGAGTCAGTTCCAACTCAGTGACCCTGCACAGGGTTTCCAAAGCTGTAAATCTTTATGGGAACAGAAAGCCTCATCTTTCTCCCGTGGAATGGCTGGTAGTTTCGAACTGCCGACCTTGAGGTTAGCAGCCCTATTCATAACCACTACGCTACCAGAGCAACTTTGATAAAGTACAGGGACAGCAAAAAAGAGGGAGACCCCCAACCAGATGGCCTGGTATAATCACAGCAGCAATGGGCTCGAGTGTAGCAGAAAACTGTGCCGATGGTGGAGGACCAGGCAGTGTTTTGATTGTTGTATATAGGGTCACTGTGGATTGGAGCAATTCAAAGGCACCTAACAACACAATAACTCTTGCATGGAGGACAAGAAAATTATACCCCTGAACTACCAAATCTCTACGAATTCTAGCTGTGCTTTTGTCACCAGACTATTATTTTGAGGGGACATCTTCATGTAGGTGAGTGGGGACTCACCTAGGTCCTGGTTCTCGGGGACTAAGACCTCTTCTCTCAATCTAGGGGTCAATGACTGCTCAAAGGCATCTTGGCTGGGAGAAGCCTTCATCTTAGAGATGGGGTGGCTGGGTCTTGGGATTTTGCAAGCTTTGGGGGACCCATGCAGCTGGGGTAAAGAGGCTGAATAGAAGCTCTCCTCTTTCTGACCCAACTTGGGTGGGTTCAGCACATTCCTTTCCCCAGGACTGTTCTCAGTCTTCTTTGGGGTCCCTCGGTGCTGATATAATAGGACGTTACTGTAGAGAGGATTTCCTAGGCGGGGGAAAATGACACAGAATATAAGAGGCAGTTACTCAAGAGCGCTTGTCTGATCTACCTCTGGAGAGTTTGTCTGTTTCTGAAAAACATGGGTGCAAAGGACAACCTTCTCCATCCACCTCCTCTTTCCCGGGTCCTGCAGTCCACCCCCTCACCCCCTTCCAAGGGTTGGTATCCAAGCCAGCTGGGGAATCCATTCCAAGTCAAGTGGCTGCAGTTCCCCTTTTCTCCACGAGGGGGCGGAGTCACCAATGGATGGGGGCTTCCGCAGTTCATGGGCCCTTACCTGACTCCCTGTACCGGTTGCGACGGCAGCGCCAGTATCCAGCCCCCAGCGCGCTAAGAACCACCGCCAGGACCCCCACCACCAACAGCATTAAGAACCCTGTAGAGACAGTGGGCGTTCTGAAAAGGGTCGCGTGAGTAAGGGCGGGGCTGGGAGAGGAACAGGAAGACGTGGCTTACCTGAGAAGCCGGAATCAGGGGTCTCTGGAGGGCCATCTGCAGAGAAGAAATCCTGGTCTTGGGTGGTGTCCGTCTTGGGGGGTCCCACCTCCTGCACCCTCCAATGTCAGAACCTGCCCTTCCCCGTGTGATCCCTCAGAACCTTTGCTATGCTGTGATTTAGGGCAGATGTTCTCTCTAAGCCTCAGTTTCCTCTTCTGGAAAATGGGGATAATTGTCCCTACCTTGCTGGGTTAAAGTGAAATAACTGCCAATTTATCATAACCCCATCAGCCTTATCACTCAGTAGCTTCATCATTCCTGTTGTCTTGGCTGTCTAGTGTAGCTATACCCAGAACATCATAAATGGGTGATTTTAACAATCAGAATTCTATTTCCTCACAATTGGGAGGTGAGAAGTCCAAATTCGGGGCACCAACCCTAGGGAAGGCGTTCTCATGTGTGGGTTCTGGGGCAAGGTCCTTGTCTCATTAGAATTTCTACTCCTGGAAAATCTTCAGGTAGATAGCATCTCCCCCAATCCCAAATTCCCCCTCCTACCCTAGTCTCTGTTCTTCTCAGTTGTTTGTTCTTTTATATAGCAAAATATATGACTTAGCACATCCCTACATTAATCCCATCTCATTAATATAATTGTTGTTGTTAGGTGCCATCAAGTCAGTACTGACCCTCAGTGACCTTATGCACAGCAGAATGAAACACTGCCCATTCCTGGGCCAACCTCACTACTGTTGCCACGCTTGAGTCTATCGATGCTGCCACTTGGCCAATCCATCTCGTTGGAGGTCTTCCTCTTTTTCTCTGACCCTCCACCTTACCAAACATGATATCCTTCTCCAGCGACTGGTCCCTCCTGACAGTATGTATGAAGTATGAGAGACGAAGTTTGGCCATCTTGGCCTCCAAGGAGTACTCTGGCTGCACTTCTTCCAAAATGCATCTATTGGTTCTTTTGGCAGCCCATGGCACTTTCAATATTCTCCTCCAACACCATAACTCAAAGGCATCAGTTCTTCTACGGTGTTCCTTATTCACTGTCCAGCTTTTGCATGCAAATGAGGTTATTGAAAATACCATGGCTTGGGTCAGGCGCACCTTAGTCCTCAAGCGAATATCTTTGCTCTTCAACACTTTAAAATAAAAAGGTCTTGTGCAGCAGATTTGCCTAATGCAATACGTCATTTGATTTCTTGACTGCTACTTCGTGAATGTTGATAGTTGATCCAAGAAGAATGAAGTCCTTGACAACTTCAATCTTTTCTCCGTTGATAAGAATGTTGTCTATTGGTCCAGTGGTGAGGATTTTTGTTTTCTTGACATTGAGATATAATCAAAGGTTGTGCTCTTTGATCTTCATCAGTAAATGTTTCAAGTCCTCTTCACTTTCAGCAAGCAAGGTTGTATCTTCTGCATATCGCAGGTTGTTAATGAGTCTTCCTCCAATCCTGATGCCACGTTTTTCTTCATATAACCCAGTTTTGGGGATTATTTGTTCAGCATACAGGTTGAGTAACTTTGTCGCACACTTTCTTAATTTTAAAACATTCAATATTCCCATGTTCTGTTCCAGTAATATAATTAGGATCCCAAATAGAATCCTAACCACAGATACGTTGTTGTTTTTAACTTCTGACTCATAGCGACCCTGTATAGGGCTTTCAAGGAACAGCTGGTAAGTTTGAACTACTGGCCTTGTGGTTCAAACAGACTTTTTGGTCCAGAGCTTATTCATTAAACCCTTCATGCTTTTCTCCACATTGAGCCCCAACCTCCACACCATAAGCCCCACCACCCCATAAGTTCCAACCCCAACCTCCTCACTCTCACTCTTGTCACGCGCTCCCTTGTCCCCATCCTAGACTGCATGTTTCTGGTCTGTACCAAGTACATTTTACAGTCAGGGAAAGAGGGGCTCACAGAGCCTAAGTCACTTTTCTGGGATTACACAGCCTGCTGGTAGCAGGGCCCAGCCTCAAACCAAGACCTGTCTAACCTCAGCCTTCCTTTCCCTCCCTGTTTCAGAGGTGGGGGCAGACAGGACCTTACTTGTTTCCAAAAACAATCGCCTCCACAACCCACACACTTGATAGTTGTGAAATCATCCACATTCTGGAAAGACCTAGTCCTCACTTTGGACTATCTCTTTATCTGACAATTTACATTCACAACAATAGCAAAAAAAAAATCTATCTCTCCTACCAGTTGGTGCCTTAACAAGGTACACCTGAAAGTAATGCCACGGAACAAGGTGAGAACGATGTAGGCTTTGCCAGTTAGGTTTACGGGTCACCATACCCAGGTCACGATTCTCAGTGGATTGGCAGTGATGTAATGATGTAGCATCCTCCAGTTTTACACAGAGCCCATTTTTGAATAAGGACCTGGTCTCTGGGATCTCAGTAAATCAGGACAGGGTGTAATAATAATTGCTAACATTTATTGAGGGTTTGTTGTTGTTGTGAAGTGCCATTGATTTGGTTCTGACCCACAGCGACCCTGTAAAGGGTCTGATTCGGTTCTGGCCCCCAGAGATGCTGTATAGGGCTTCCGAGGAGCTTGAACCGCCGACCTTGCAGTTCAAACGACTTTGCAGTCTGGCGCATTAACCCATAGGACCACACCAGGATCCATTTCCAAGGCACCCCTGCAGCACATTGGTGAAGAACCTGGCTGCGAACCAAAAGGTCAGCAGTTCAAACTCACCAGCAACTAGCTCTGAGGGAGAAAGGTGTGGTAGTCTCTTCCTGTGAAGATTTCGAGCCTTGGGAATCCTTGGGGGGAGGGGGGCAGTTCTACTCTGCTCTGTTCGGCCCTATGGGTTGGAATCAACTTTGACAGCAGTGGATTAGATGTGATTTTGGTACTAAATCTCAGGCTCTAAATGCTTTAGATAGAATCACTTTTTACATACCCAACCCAGAAAGGAAGGAGCTCTGGTAGCGTAGTGGTTACGAATCGGGCTGCGAAGCTTAAGGTCAGCAGTTCAAAACTACCAGCTGTTCTGCAGGACAAAGATGAGGCTTTCTGCTCCTGTGAAGATTTACAGCCTTGGAAACCCTGTACCAGGTCACTATAAGTCAGAACCAACTCCACGGCACACAACAACAACAACAACAACAACCCAGAAAGAAGATCTCTGTTATGTTTCTTGACAGCTGAGGAAACAGAGAGGTCAAGCCAGCTGCCCAAGGCCACACAGCACATGAATGGCATGAACCCCAGCCAGAGGCTCCATCTGCTATGTCTAAGATGAGGTGCAGTGCCCCCAAACCCTTCATTTTGCAGATTCTGAGGTTGGCTGTCGCTTCCTGAGTCTCTGAGCCACTTGCGTGTGTGTGTATGTGGGGGGTGGGGGAGCCAGCTGTGCAGAGCTGGACCAGAGCCTGCTTGCTCACTGCCAACACACAACTTGATGACGCTCTGCCCCGCCTCTGCTAATTGGTAATTGGCCCCCTCAACTCTCTAGGGGTTGGGGTGGGCAAGGCAGCCATAACAGCCCCTCTGGAGGCAGGCACGGTTCGCTGCCAGTGGGCGGGGTCTTGCCAGCTGGGCATCTATCCCCTGAGGCTGGAGAGAGGGGGAAGGGAAGGGGTCAGGTGCTCTATTCTGCCAAATGGAGGTTGGACATGTACCCAAAGCAGGCATGAGCAACACAGGGCAGAAGCCGTGTTTGGAACAGTTTGGATTTCCAGCCCCCACAGGGGTTTGGTCCAGAGCACCTGCAGGACTTCTGTGAGGATGGCTTGTATGTGACAGTGGATGGGTTTTGGCCCTCTCTGAACCTCAGTTTTCTTTTCTATAAATTGAGGCAGCTAGATTAGCTGATCGGAAAAGTCCCTTCTGACTTGGAAAGTTCACTTCTTTCCAGAATCTAGGATTCTAGAATTCGCTGCACTTACATACTTTGGGATTATAAGATTTTAAGTCTCTTTCAAGGAGCCCAGGTGGTGCTGTGGTTTAAGCAGGCATTGGGCTTCTAACTTCAAGGCTGATGTTTTAAACCCACCAGCAGCTCTGAGGGAGAAAGATGAGGCTGTTTACTCCTGTAAAGATGGACAGTTTGGAAACCCTATGAGTTGGAATAGACTTGCCGGCAGTGGTAGTGGTAAATCTATTTCAAGAGTGTGGGAGGCTAAGATTCTAAAAGGAGTATATGATTCTTAGGGTTGGGTGTCAACTTGGCTGGGCCTGGGTTCTCGGTGGTTTGGCTGTTAAGAGGTGCTAATCCCCCAGATGAGATCTAATATAATGATGTGATTTGATGTGATCCATCCTGATCTGATGTATTTCTCCTCTGTGTGGTAAATCCTCATTTCTGTGATATTAACAAGGCTGGATATAATCTACAGGATTAAGTTATATTTTGAGTCCATCCCTTTTGAGATATAAAAGAGATTAAACAAGCAAGTTGAGCTCAGAGGGACCTATGACTACCAAGAAAGAAGAACCAGAAGTAGGGGGGGGGTCCTTTGGACTTGGGGTCCCTGCATTGTGAAGCTCCTAGGTCCAGGGGAAGACTGATGCCAAGACACGTGGACATCTCCTAGGAATGTTGGGCCTTCAGATGCCGAAAGGAAACAAGGACCTTTCCCCAGAGCTGGCAGAGAGAGAGAGCCCTCCCTTAAAACCCGTGTTCTGACTATGAACTTCTACCTCCGAAACGGTGAGAGAATCAACTCCTGTTTGTTAAAGCCAACCCCCTCGTGATAGTTCACCCATAACAGTACTGACGAACTAAGCCAAGGCCGTTCTTTAAGTCAGTGCACCCCAACTTTTCCACCAAAAACCCCCCATATGTTGAAGTCCTATCATTCCCTCACCCCATGCCTGGAATGTGACCCTATTTGGAAATAGGATCTTTGCAGATGGCAGCAGTTACACGAGTCCACATGGGTGTCGTTGGAGTGGGTGGGTGGGTCCTGATCCAACATTACTGGTGTCTTTATAAGAAGAGACAGACAGACAGACACAAAGGGAAGACAGCCAGGTAAAGGTGGAGGCGAGATTGGAACGATGCAGCCAGAAGTAGAGGAATGTCAGGAAGAGCATGAAACCACGGGAAGCGAGAAGAAGGCAAGGAAGACTCCGCCCCTAGAGCCTTCAGAGAAAGGCTGATCAGAACGACATCCTGAATTTGAATTTGGAGCCAGCAGAACTGTGAGGTGATGCATGTCTGTTGTTTTTAAACCAACCAGTTTGTGGTACCTTGCATGGCAGTCTCAGGAAATGGATGCACCCTCCAAGGAGACTTTCTTTCTTTCTCCTTAATTGCTCCCCTTGAAATGTTAATATTATAGATACTCATTCCCACCACACCTCTGTCAGTTCGTCACATTGTGTTGGCTACGTGTTGCTCTGATGCTGGGAGTTTTGCTATTGGTATTTGAAATACCAGCAGGATCACCCATGGTGGACAAATTTCATCTGAGCTTCCAGACAAAGAAGGAGAGGTGACTATTTCCAAATGTTTAGCCACTGAAAACCTTATGAATGGCGTAGTGGGTACGAATCGGGCTGCGAACCTTAAGGTCAGCGGTTCGAAACTACCAGCTGCTCCGCGGGAGAAAGATGAGACTTTCTACTCCCGTAAAGATTTACACCCTCAGAAACCCTGTACAGGGTCGCTATGGGTCGGAACCGACTCGAAGGCACTTAACAACAACAACTGCCAGATAGCACCAGAATATTGAATCCTGAAACATGATGAAAAACACCACAGTATTGTCAGATACAGTAACAGAAGATGAGCCTCTCAGGTTGGAAGACACTCAAAATATGACTGGCGGAGAAACTGTCTTCAAAGCAAAGTTGGCTTTGATGATGTGAATGGAGTAAAGCTTTTGAGACCTTCATTTGCTGATGGGATACAATTCAAAATGAGGAGATACAGTTGTAAATATGCATTAATTATCAGAACATGGAATGTATGAAGTATGAATCTAGGAAAATTGGAAGTTGTCAAAAATGCAATGTAATGTACAAAGATTGAGGCATCAGTGAGCTGAAATGGGTTAGTACTGGCCATTTTGAATCTGACAATCACATGGCTCATTCTGCTGGGAATGACAAATTGAAGAGGAATGGTGTCACCACATTCATTATTAAAAAGAACATATAAGGCTGTCTGTGATAGGATAATAACTATATGACTACAAGGAAGACCAGTTAATACCCCAATTATTCAAATTTAGGTACCAAGCACTAAAACCAGTGATGAGGAAAGATTCAGAAAGCATCAAAAGAAGATGGAAGGAATTCATAGAGTCACTGTACCAAGAAGAAATGGTTGATGTCCAACTATTTCAAGAGAGCATATGATCAAGAACCAATGATACTCAAGGAAGTCCAAGATGCATTGAAGGCATTGGCAAAGAACAAGGCTCCAGGAATTGATGGATTACAAATTGAAATCTTTCAACAATCTGATGCAGCACTGGAGGCACTCACTCATCTATGCCAAGAAATTTGGAAGACAGTTACCTGGCCAACTGATTGGGAGAGATCCATTTTTGTGCCCATTTCAAAGAGACGTGACCCAACAGAATGTAGAAATCATCGGACAATATAATTAATGTCACACGTAAGTAAAGTGTTGCTAAAAATAATACAGAAATGGCTGCAACAGTACACTGAGGGATATCATTGCTAATGACAGATGGATCTTGACTTCATTTTGCTCAGATCAACCATGAAAACAGCAGTCAAGAAATCAAACAATATATTGCATTAGGCAAATCTGCTGCACAAGACCTCTTTAAAACGTTCAAGAGCAAAGATGCCAGTTTGAGGACTAAGGTGCGCCTACCGAAACCATGGTATTTTTAGTAGCCTCATATGCATGTGAAAGTTGGACAGTGAATAAGGCCGACTTATTCTTATTCATTTATATATTTGAGTTATGGTGTTGGAGAAGAATATTAAAAGCACTATGGAATTCCAGAAGAACAAATAAATCTGTGTTGGAAGTACAGCCAGAATGCAATTTGTTATTGTTATTAAGTGCCATGGAGTCAGTTCTGATTCATAGCGACTCTGTATTGGGTTTCTGAGGAGCAGCTGGTGAGTTTGAACCACTGACAAACCGACCTTGAGGTCGAGTGCTTATCCCATGATGCCACATCAAGATTCCAGAATGCCCCTTGTTGTTAAGTGCCGTCGAGTTGGTTCCGACTCATAGCAACCCTATATAGTGTTTCTAAGGAGTGATTGGTGAGCTTGAACTGCCGACCTTGTGGTTCAAACCAACCTTGCAGTCCAGCGCAGTAACCCACAGAGCCACTCCAGGACTTTAGAAACCATTAAAAAAAGGAAGAAGAAGAAGAAGCCAGAAAAAAAGTAAAAACAAAATTCAAAGCCAAAAATGTAAAGACCACACTTACTGTCCGGAAAGAGACAGGAGGAACCTCAAGAATATGGCCCTGAGAAACTCTTAAAGCTGAAGACACACCGCCACAGACTGTCTTCCTGCCCAATACGTGACAGTTGTGTGCCATAGATTTAGTTAGTTCTGACTCATAGTGACCTGGTGTAAGATTTCTGAGGCTGTAAATCTTTACAGAATCAGAAAGCCTCATCTTTTTCACTCAGAGTGGCCGGGGGATTCAAACAGCTGACTTTGCGGTTAGCAGCCCAACTCATAACCCACTATGTTGCCAGGGTTCCTTCCCGCACATTACTAAATGGGACGGTAAGACAAACAATGGGAAGACTGTGCTCGTACCTTCAACCACCAGCAGTTCAGTGCCTTTGCCCTTGTCCTCCAATAGCTCCGGGATCTCCACAGTTGCACAGCACACGTAGTTCCCGCTGTCGTTGATGCTCACCTGGGCAAGTCTCAGGGTGAGCTCTCCAGACACCACCCACCAGAAGAGCTGTCCCCGGGGCCCGCAGACATCCAGACTGAGACTGTCATTCGTGACTTGTGACTGGCACAAGACTTTGCCATCCTTGGTCCACTCGACTCGGAGTCGCTCCCAGGCCTGGACATGGGCCACCTGGCAGGTCAGGGTGGCCTGGCTGCCCAGCTTTACCCATAGTGACACGGGTCTCTGATTCACGTTCAGACTTGTGGTTGCTTGTAGAACTGGGGGACAGGAGAGATGAGAGGTGGTGAATGTGTCTTGCTTAATGATACTGCAGGGATAAGCCCATAAGGGTTGCCACCTTGATGGCTGTGTGATCTTGGATAGGTCACTCCTGTCTGAGGCTCGGTGACTGCATCTGTAAAATGGGTCTAACTTGCTCAGCTCTTATGAAGTTTTAGACATGGGTCCTATGACAGGTCTGGTTCTAGGCCGTGCAGATGCAGCTTAGCCAGGCCTTGTGCCGGACATCATGGACACAGAGGTGATGAAGATGAATGAAATTCCCTGTTTCTATAAGATCAAAAAAGGAGCTCTGGTAGTGTAGTGGTTACGAATCAGGCTGCGAACCGCAAG